CCCCCCCCCAAAAAGTCCATGGTGTTGTAGAGGCCAGTCACTGTGTACACAGTGATCACCTGGAGCAGTAGGCCGTGGGTGTCCTGGAGTATGAGACCACCTCCCATCCCATCCTCACATCAATACTCCTAGCGCACCCCCTATCCCACTGTCCTACCTCAGTGTGACCAGCACTCAGGACCATTACCCTACCAATGGGCAGGTAACTTGGACCGAACAGCAGTGATAGGCACCAGGGCTGATAGGTTGCCCAGCCCTGGTGGAAGCGGAATCGGACGAGCCTTGTCGAATGGGAACTTCGGATGTCAGGCCCAGACAATCTACTACAGGCCCCAAGAGACTCTGGGCCCTAGGTTTCAGACAGGGTAGCACCCATTGAAGCAGTCTTACCGTTCCTCCCCTAGCTTACCCAAGGCCAGGCGGAACTCGGATTGGCCTGAGCGACTTATACCCCTACCCTTACCCCAGGATCTAAGCCTTATATATAGCCACCAGACAGTTCTACCTGAATATCAGTAGGAACTCCTGTGGCCCATACCTGTCCCTACCACAGATATTAGACCCCACCCAGTGACTAGACCCCCCCAGTCTGATAGGTGTGTAGTTCGAAATGTATGTGTATACCCGAAGGCTGTGTATGCTTCGTATATCTATGTATGAAGATGTACAGACAGCACTATGTGTGGAAACTTATGTATGTAGCCCGTAGGCCATGTATAATTCGCAAGCTATGTATATGCCCGAAGGCTGTGTGTGCTCTGTGAATCAATGTATCGAGATGTATAGGCAGCATCATGTGTGTATATCGAAGAGAGAACGGAGTAAGCTGGACAAGGACCCCCCCAAGATCCGAGCCAAGCTCGAACCCGTGCCCTTGAAACGTGTAATCGTGTGACCTTGAAAAATGTAGAGGCTAGTGGAAATGGCACGAACGTGTGATATGCCAGACTGGGGAGATCAACAGTACACCCAAGACCAACACCCCCAAGGAACCCATGTGAAACCAAGAACCAACATACAACACCATGAACAACCCTTGGGTGGTGCGCAGGCAGTGTCTGTAATAGTACCATGCGTCAGCCCAAGGGAGTGTGTCCAGCCGTGCGTCAATCTAACGCCCTGCCGGTGTCCATGTGCAAGGTTGCAATTGAGTTTTGAACCCGCAACCTCATACCACAATGCTCATTTCCAACCGGTGCTCTAACCACTGAGCCACATCAACTGGACTTGCTCTTTCCAATCTACAAGGTCATAAGGTTGAAGTTTTTCAAAGAACGAGATTTTCTCATAGCTCCTCTCAGTCCTCTGGGATCCAGTAGCTGGTCTATGAGTAAGTCAGCAGCGATCTTCGTTTCTCTTAAATTCTCGGATTCGTAAATTGTTCTTAGCCGAGGCCAGGTAATGGCCCCAGTATTTTCAATGTTTTTCGTGATTCTATATGGGACACTGGGCCCCGTTCCCAGCATGTGCTGCTCCCCACAAATAGATTGGAGCTTTGATTGTCCCCCCCCCCCCTCCCCCTCCACAAAAAAAAAGGGATGTGATTTTTTGTTAAAATAATTTACTGTTCTCATTGTTATGGTTGTTGCAGTTGTTTTTAATTGAGCTACGGACTCTACTTTGATGTCGAGTCCCGCATGTTCAATTTTAATTTAGACAGAAAATGGTGGCTCTCTTTTGAGTGTGTATTTGGCTCTTTCTCTTGNGAGAGAGAGAGAGAGAGAGAGAGAGAGAGAGAGAGAGAGAGAGAGAGAGAGAGAGAGAGAGAGAGAGAGAGAGAGAGAGAGAGAGAGGTGCTCCGCGCGCCAATGTACACATGCATGACTCCATGTGTGTGTATGTGTGACTGTGTGTGTGCGTGTGTGTGGGTCAGAGAGAGAGAAAGGGAGACGTGAGTTGCCGCGGCATCGCCGCCGCACGGCAATGACTTGTTTTTTTAAAGAGAGTTTCTGGTGCGTCCTTTTGAAGGTGCCATAGGGCCGATTTATACCAGATTGACGCCAGCACCACGTAGTTGATGAGTAATGCCTGTCCGAAAATAGAAGTGTGTTTATTTATCCACATTCTCATCTTTTCTAGTGCCGGCCTGGTTATCTATTCATCGTTGCCTGTTGGTAGGCCTTGGGCTGAGAGGACTACCCCCAACACCCGAATCTGCATCTCCAGCGGTCTCCAAGCAAGCCTGGGCTGATCTGAGGGGCGGCCCTCGTGGTAATGATCCACCAGCCCTGGGTTTTCCTTTTTTTAATTATTATTTTTATTATTATTTAAAAAAAAAAAATGCTCCATCTATTGCTGGGGAGCTTCACCTGCTGGAAATCGGGTCTAATGTCCCATTGAAAATACAAAAGAATACATAGATATCCGAAAACGTGAGATTGGAAAAAAGGACCATTTGGCCACCGCCATTGGAAAAAAACCTCTTCCACTTTTTTGACTCAGGGAAAAGACACTGCCTCTTCACCCTTTTCTCCGGGCGCCAGATATACCTATTAGTACAAGCTGTGAGATCTGCTGAGAATTCCTTCTATATTCCATACCAGGAGATAGGAACAAGGGCTGATGCTGGGGGGGGAAGGGATCTGGGAATTCTGATAGAGGGCGCATAGGCACTGCAGCGTCAATAGTAGTCCAGTCACCAAATTCCAATTTGTAATCCCTTTTAATCTCAACATCATCATCACCCATTGCCCCATTCCATATGACTTTTCCCAATCTCCCTCCCTGGTTTCCGCCCAGCCAGTTACGACTGAATTTTCGAAAATGTGATTGTCTGAGACTTGAGAGAATCTGCTCATCACGGCCTGCACTTCCAACATGTTGCTGTGAATGGCCTCTGTTATCAGCATTAAGTCATTGCGAGCATTGAGTAGACTCGTATTGCCTCCCCCGGGATGCCGCTATATGAAGCCTGGTGATGTTCCTTTTTTTATTTTTTATTTTTTATTTTTAAATTAAACTTCGTGTCTCAGGCGGCCATGCTAAATGGGGTGGTACCAGCATCCCCGTTTAGCAGGTCCTGGTGTCGAAGGCTCCATCTATTGGTGGGGAGCAGCACCCTCTGGAAATTGGGTTCAGCATCGCTGTACAACTGCGTCCCCTGCTGGAAATCCTGTCCAGCGTCCCAGTATCAGTTCGTCTTATGGAGATGTTTGTTATCTGTTTTCTGTTGTTGCTGATTGTAATATGTCTAGCATCCCAGTATCACTTCGTGCGATGCAGATGATTGTTATCTGTTTTCTGTGGTAGCTGATTGTAGTATGCTTGTGATAAATTTTTGTCATGTTTGTGAGAGATTTTAAACAGTTGTGCACAATTGTGCATATTGTGGTGTGTGCTTCCTATATGGGCTTGGAAGCTAGGAAGATTCTCACGCCCGGGGTACCCGGTCGTTTTGGTTTTCTGCGTTCTGCCAGAGGACCCCAAATCCGGGCTCATTTCGTTTTTTGCAAGTTGGCTGTCAAGGGGGGGGGGGGTATAAATTGGCTTTGAAGGGGCTAAAGGGGTCTAAACGGGGATGCCTTTGTTTGATTCTGTTATCTTGAATATTTTCTTTTTTTATCTCCGATTCTGTGAGGAATTATAATGTGACCCTCAGACAAAAGTCGTTTGTATTTTAATTCTGCAGAACATAATTTTTTTCCGGATTTTTTTTTATTTTTTTTTTGCGTCAGGGCTGCCCGGAACCCTACCCGGGGTCATGCCCGGCCGGGCACCCGGGCGTGTACCCGGGCAGAAGTTGGGTGCCCGGGTGCCCGTAAAAACCGCCTCGACGGAAAGCCCATTTTGCCTTCCAATTGTGTGTGTGTGACCGGCTTCCCATGATTTGGAACCCCCAAAGAGTCCCTGTAAAGCCTAGTAAACCCTTCTCAACCCTGCAAAACCCTGCTAAACCCTGCTAACCCCCCTCTTCATACTCCTCAGTCTTCTTGTAAACACCCATAGTTGCTGGTTCCCCTAACTTCCTCTATCCCTACCATTCTGTAGCTGAGAAGATAGGATCAAATAAGCCCCCGTTAACCCCAACTATGTTCCCAGATGATGGCCAGCCCGCCTGTAATTGCGTTCTTTTGGAGCTGAACGGTGCTGTACTCGCTGTGTCCTTCGGGATGAGTTCGGCGTGGCCGGCTGTGGGGGGGGGGGGGGGGGGGGGGGGGGGGGGGGGGGGGGGGGGGGGGGGGGGGGGGGAGGGGGGAGGGGCCGGGGGTGGGGAGGTGGGGGGGAACCAGGAAGGTGAGTCAGACAGGGATCACACACATTACTGATTATGAAGGGCCTGGTTGGCCCTCCTAACTTCCCAAGGGTCGCTGGGAATCAGCAGGAAGTTTGTTGGTTGAAAATTGAAATTCAATAGTGAAGTGGTACGTGGGGAGGAATTCCCACTGCCTGTCTGTAGAGAGCCATGGTTGCCACTGCAGGTCGTGTTGGTGGTCCAGAGTGCACAGTCTCTGGCTCCGGTCCACCCATGTGTTGTGGAAGTTTTCTAGCAATTGCCTCCGCTTTGGTTCGTCCATCTCTTGTTTGAGCCTGGACCTGAGATTTTTCCAGGCTTCGTTAGTCTGAGCTGTTATGATGTTTGCAATAGTGGAGCTCTTGCCTGTATAAATCCGAATGTTTGTTGGCTTCTTTCGTATGAGCATCTCATGCACCATGCAGCCATGAGAATTGCCAGTCGGGTGTATTGGAACAGATTAAGCATAAATTGCGACCATTCCGTTCCGTCTGGCAGTAGCACTCCAAACAGGAGTGCCTTTATTCTCCATGGCAGGTGTTGCCCCGTGATGTAATGCCAGGCGCCATCCCACCAATGCCAGAGACGCGCCGCCATGGGACAATTTAATAGACAGTGTTCCTGGGTGGCCCGTTTTTCTGGGTGGGATCACAGTAGGTGCAGAGCGGTGAAAGCTGACCTTTCTGTTCCAGGTCTGTCCTCACAGTCACCCTGTCCGGGGTGGGTAGGCACCTATAGCCAGGACTTGTCCCACCAGCGAGGTGGGTTTAGCATCCCATCGCGCCATTTCGTTGACTAGCTAAGTCCACCAGAAGGTCCCCATGGTCCAGGGGGAGGCCCACAGCCGTGAGTCTCACCTCCAATACTCTGATTGCCGTTTCTTTGTCCCTCCAGGCAACTGGGGGTTCTGCCAGGGGGGGCATCCTGCTGGTGACGTTCCTATTGGTTCTCAGATTAGCCCCCAGGGCCTCCATTACTACAAGAAAGAAGAGCAGGCTATCAGGTGTCCCTATTGCACTGATTATTGCAACCTGATCTCTGGGGCTAGCATACCATTCACCTGGATGTGCATGATGACACTGCTATGGAGAATACCAAGCCGGTTCTGAAAATCGGGATGGAAGTTAAGTTTCTCCAGGCACCTATCCAGAAAGCGCCAATTGTCATCACAACCACTCGTCTTTCAAACAAATTCTGATGCTCAGGGACGATGGACCCGCTTTCCAGCAGGCGCGGCTCCCCACCAATAAATGGAGCCTTCCTGGCAATGCTAGTGGTGTCTGCTACCAATCAATGGAGCCTTCCTAGCATCATATCGGGTTGTTTGATAAAAAAAGAAAAAGAAAAAAAAAGAAGGAAGCAGCAATCGACTTGTCGGGGCCTGCACTGACAGCCCTGTTGATTTGCACCTGGGAGGCCCTTGCGACCTCGCTAATAATCCCTAATCCTATTAAGTGGACCATCTGCTCATTTGCAAAAAAAAATAATTTCACAATTATACTGGTGTTTTGGCCTCCATTCTCATTTAGGTTCTGTGACCCCCTGTGGCCAACTTCTCTTGCATGGGCAAAGACGTGACAGACAAGTAACTTTAGCAATAACAATAAGAACAACGACAATAGTAAGGAGAAGACAGCGAAGGGAATGCATGGAGGAATGGGTGGGAGCAGGCGAAAGTTGGTGGATGCGGCTTATGGCTCGTCTTCGTCGTGAGAACTTTGACGGAGATCCCCCCCTCCCTCTCTTCGGACTACCTGTGAGGGATGGCTGGCAGGTTCAGCTGTTTTGGCTTGCAACATGGCCTGATCACTGGGGATGGGGATTCAGGCAACGGTCCCACAATCTTCATCATCCGGTCGTTTGAAAGGGTGGTCGAGTATTGTAGTCGGCCATGTGGCGGTCGGAATGCCTGGGTGCTGATGAAGGAGGAGGTGAGGTTCAGATGGGGGAGGGGTGTTTTCAATAGTTTTTTTTTTTTTTTTTTTTTTTAAACAGAGGGCCCAGTGCCCAAGGCTGATATTATCCATAAGAAGATTGAGGCCGGGGTCCTCACAGTCTACTCGGAGTGACCAAACCAAAATTGCTGAGAACCGGGCTCAGCATCCCTCATATGATGATAATGATGATCCTGACGATGATCCTGACGATGATCCTGATGCTAATGATAATGATTAGTATATAAAAATGAATTATCAGCCCTCTGGCCTTCTAATCCTAAAGCACCTCCTAGCCCCTCCTATAACGGAACATTGTATTTCAGAAGCAATACCAACCTCCTGACAGGGTTTCGTGGTTCGTCCTCCTCATCTAAATTGGTTTTGCTCTCTTTGTAGTCCCTTGGTTAGGTAACGATCGTTTTTTTTATTTATATTTTTTTTATGATTGTTACGATCCTGGTCATTTCCCAAGTGCAAATTCACAATGAAAGACAATGCCACCCAATTGCGAAAGAAATGAAAGCACTTGCAAGAGATAAAGACCAGAGGAGAGGTAAAGAGGAAGAAGAAGAAGAAGAAGAAGAAGAAGAAGAAGAAGAAGAAGAAGAAGAAGAAGAAGTACACCAGCAAGACCAATGACAATTCCCCCTTCTCTCTCCACCTTCCTCCTTCCTCCTTCTCTTCACCAATCTTATTCTTCTCTCAACAATAATAATAACAATGAATGGATGAACCAGAATCAATGTCCGAAGTTCCCCCTTACTGCTGACTCAACTCACAACAACAACAAGTCCACCATGGCTATGTCTTCCCTCCTTCAACCTCTTCTCTCAAGCATAGGCCATGGCGGACTACTGGAAGGCAGCTATGATGCTGCCCTGATGCCCGAAAGACAACTCAAAGCAGCTATGTCGCTGCTTGACTTGGTCCGCTATGCCTGACCCTGCCTCGAGCTGCCCTGGTGCAGCGTTACCCCAACTGGGGCCTTCCAGATGCAGCGCCCAACAAGGTACTGAAGACGGTGTCCACCATAGCCAGGTAAGTGCCCTACCACTCTCCTACCATGTCCCCCTTCTTCCTCCTTCAAACTGGGGTGCTCGCCATAGCCAGGCTGAGCCCCAGCAGACCTTCACCTCCAAGCAGCGCTGCTTCAGACCAGCGCTGCGCTCCAGCAGCATGTCGCCAATCCTTGCATACCGCAAAATGAGGAAGAGCTCACCGCTCTTCCTGAAGATATAGCGGCCTACCGGCCTCCTGGGCGGTGACTTCCTAGGCCAAGCGGCCTCCCAGCAACCGGTGCCTCCTCCCTTTTGGAGGGAAACATCATTGCAGGCTCTGTTATTGTCCGCACAGGCCCTAGACCCAGGCTACTTGGACTGGTACCGGCCTACCTCTAACCGACCGCTACTGGGGCTCTAAAAATGCCAACTTTTTGTCTTCTTCTGCTCGGCCTACCTGCTACTTGAGTGTTTTTCCCCAGATGCTCTAAGTGCCGTGGGCCTACTCCCCGCTACCGGCATGTTTACCCCCCTGCAACCCTCCAAAGTCACGGCCACAGGTAAGTACCGGCCCGGTGGGCCTTGCAACCAACAAGTACCCTGGCGGGTTACACACATACCCAACCAGCAAGCACTCAGACCCGCATGCAACCCAGCAGGCACGCCCACACACACATCCGGCAAGCACTCAGACAGGCATGCAAACCAGCAGGCACGCACACACACAGACTTGGGACCACAGCAGAATGCGGGAATCACAGCAAGGCATTCATTCCATTGGCAAATCCCAGAAATCAGCAGTGTTCTCAGTCTGTGTTTTGGGCGGGTCATTACATGATAGTGATTTTTAGTCTAGGTTTTTCACCTGCGATTCTCAAACTTAATGTTTGAATTCCAACTTCCTAAAACTTGTTTGATT